TGTGTATATATATATATACACAGTAAAACATTACTTACCTGTTATTATCCCAGAAGTGGTTTTGATCCAGACCTGAGTTCTTATCAGAACATTTGTTGTGTTTCTGCAGAAACTAGAGGAGCGTTTCCGGATCAGCAGGAAGGAGCTCATATCCTTTGAGTTCATCATCCTTGTGGCTCTGGAGATGGCACTCTACCTCCCTGAGAGTAAAGTCTTGCCACATTACAGACGGCTGGTGCAGCAGCAGCAGGTGTAGCCGCCCCACCTTTATCACCTCATTGTGCCTGACTCAAAGGCACAGCAGAACCAGAACCCACCATCTATCTGATCTGTGCACAGGCCTGAGCTCGGGCCCGCCTCTGCTGCCTGGCTGTAAGGAAAGACACGACACCAAAGTTGCGACGCACTGTGACCAACAAGACTCTGGAAAGTCCCCAATCAGCATCATCATCATCGTCGTCAGTCCCTCAGAGTTTGACCCTGTCAGTCTGAGCTGTAAAATTTAAATCATTCCTTTTGAACTTTGATCATGTTTGAAACACAAAAATAGCATCAAAGATTTTGGATTTTCTGATGTTACAAATATTTTTGAACCAAATGATATGAAAACAGTATAAAGATTGTTTTTCACTGAATCCTTCTTACACAAATCACACCATTATAGAAGAAAAAGTGGAACTCCTGAAACAAAAAGTCTTTTTAAAATACTAAACTGTAGCAGTTTTATAGTTTAAATGTTTACACTTACTTACTAATCATTATTATTGATTTTTGACAATCATTTCAAGCTCCTGAAACTGAGAACCAACACAGAGAGGTTTCAGTGTCAGAGATTTACAGCAGCGTATCGCATCTATAGTGGACGCAGTTCTGAATCTAGTGTTGAGATTATGGTTGAAATATGCCAAGAATAAAAGTCAAAATGGCTGAAATTAAGTTATTTAGAAATCAAGAGATCACTAATAACCCTTTAGTTATGTCTGTATATGTCACCACAGTAAAAAGAAATGAACCTGGAGCTGCACACAAGTTAAGAGTAGTTCAGAGTGAGTTTTACTGAAGTACAATATTTATGATGTAAACCATTTTAAAATTTTCAGTCTGAGAGTATTTTCAGTTCAACACTACTGTACTGTGTTTGAGACTTATTGTGAAGGACGGAAGGAAGTTTTGAGTTTAGCTGCTGTAGCAGAAAAGAAATCTTGAAACACTTTCCACTCTGAGCTGTGAAACATTTGAAGCAAATCTTCTGAAGGACCCCACAGCTAGTGTCTCATCAGCCTGAATGTTTTCAACAGCGTTCATGAGAAATCGTTCAAAATATCTGGAAAACGTTTGCAGGGTTTCCCTCATTTCTTCATGAATCACCGAGCTCTCATCACCAGACTTTTTCAAATAGGAAGTATAAGAAATGTGAGACAGTAGCTATGTTTACATGCACAATTTTTTTAATCGGATTGAAATGTATTCAGATTAAATAATCCAAATGTACCGTTTACATGGACACAATCCGATCATGAAAAGTGTTTACATGCACCGGAGTTTTATTTAGAATAAAAGTCCGGACATGCGCAGTGTTGTAAACGTTCAGCTCTATTTCCATGTTACAAACGTAAACAAAGCTCCTCTGTGCCTCAGGACGGACCCGTGTCAGCTTTTAATAACAGTAGAGACGTCGTTACTCCTCGGTTGAGCTGCAGCTTGCAGATGAAGCAATACGTGCTTTTTATTTTTATTTTTWGCGAAGCAACGTCTGCTGTTTGCCTCCTTTTTATCTGTTAAGAGAGCGAGGAGGAAAAGTTCTGCACGGTGCTGCGCTGCTGTCCCACCGGGTGGATGAAAGTCAGCAGACATGCACACAGATCAGTTTTCTACAATCAGAATAAGATGATCAGTTTAAGTGTTTACATGAACCTCATTCCGATTAACAATCGGCATAACCCACCCGACTCATTCGGATTAAAAATTCATTCTGATCGAGCTCAATCGGATCAGAATAATCAGAACGGGCTGTTAACATGGCGCATTTTTATTCTGAACGGCCGTTTAATCCGATTACTTTTGTCCATGTAAACGTAGCTACAGTGAAGGTTTGATGTGCTGTGAATAAGATCTGGACATTCTGATACCCGTGTGACCCAGTCAGTTCTGACCTGTCAGCACCAAAAAAGACCTGCAGCAGCTGTGTCACATCCCCTGATGTCTGCTGAAGAACTGAACRCTGGACGGGAGCAGGGCGGTCCAGATGAGTCAGTGTAGTGAACAGTTCTGCTGCTCATCCCAGGAGGTTTCTCAGTTCAAAGCTGGAGTTGAAATGGTAAATGGACTGTACTTGTACAGCACCTTTCTACCAACCAGGACACTCCAAGCTTCACACTACAATCTATGTCCTCATTTACCCATTCACACAGCACTCTATTAGATCTCCTACAACGCTAACATGTACAATCATCTTTGGAGACTAATCAGTCTTTTAACCTGACAGGAAAASATGTCACCAAAGTGAGAATTTGAAGTGAGAATTTGCACCTTTCTCAGAATCATGTCTGTAACGAGTCTCCATCAGTCCCAGTCCTGTGAGTTACCAGCTGAATACGCTGCTGTAGATTTCTGCCTGATTTTCTGTTTGTTCTTCAAGGCTGATTTTTTGTTTTTTCCCCTTTAAAGTTTCAGGAGAACTTTTGGTTCAGACGTTTTCATTCCATCTTTTGTGCTTGTTTTCTCTCTCAGATGAGATCTTTCTTATCTAAGAGATCAGCTTAGATTTCTCTGTGCCATCTGCGAACATGAGTTCTTCATCCCCCACTGAGCTGCAGATGTTTGAGTGCCTTCAGCTTAAGGTCAGCTGACCTTAGATTTAGTCTTCCCATCWTATGATTCAAACCAGCACCTTCAGTCCTGATGTCTCACCATCCCGTCCCGTTTGGCTCCGACAGGCTGAGACGAAAAGGTCCAAGTGAAAAAGATCAAAWATTAAAGTTTTTTCAGGAAATCTGACGAACACTTCGGAAACAGCTTTTCTCCTGCTTGTGGAGCAACAGAAACACTGTGATCAAGGATTGTGTGTGCAGGGTCGGGGTAACCCAAACCCTGACCCTGCAGTTCAGGAGGTTCTGACTGGAGAACCCTACCTTCTGTGTGTAGTGTTTGATGCAGCACAAACCTACTGTAATCATGTTTAACAATCCTGGTCCTGACTGATCCATGACAGAACAATAAAGGTACCAGAACCTGTCAGTTAAAGAGCTGCAGCAGAAAAGCAATAAATMACTTTTTATTTCTAGTTTTTACTGTAACATAGGACGACTGTATTCAGATGGAGGCGCCTGCAGGGATCTTTTCTCCTTCACGCCTCAGAGAAACAGAATCTGCTTCAAAACTCTGAAACTGGACCGTCTCTGGTACTGTTGTCACTAAAAGATGGACATGGAGAAATCTTCCTGCAGAACCTTGGTTTATGCACTTTGCCTGAATTTTTGTTTTATCACTCAGTAATAATATTTTTTTACATGTGGTTATTGTTGAATATAAAACTGTATTTATTGTTCTTTCTGATGAAATATGTTTAGCTGAAAATAACTGCAGGTTATATTTAAATATAAAATCTCTTGTTTGTTTCTTCAGAGAGATGCCCATGTTCTTCCAGTGAAGTTTGTTTCTCTTGTTTGATAAGGAGGTAATGTTTARGTTCATCGGAACATGAAAGTTGGAGGAGCCTGACCCAGATGTGCTGAATTTCAGTTTGGTTTTAAAACATGGACTCTGACATCAGCTGTAGGGTTTAGATGTACACACTGACTTAACACTGATACTGACTCGGCAGTAACACTGACTCACCAGTGAAACCCTGAGTCAGCAGTAACACTGACTCGGCAGTAACACTGACCTAACACTGACTCAGCAATAAAACACTGACTCAGCAGTAAAACTCTGACTCAGCAGCAACACTGATACTGACTCGGCAGTAACACTGACTCACCAGTGAAACCCTGAGTCAGCAGTAACACTGACTCGGTAGTAACACTGACCTAACACTGACTCAGCAA